AAACATAGTTTAAGTAACTTATACAGCATATTAGAAGATGGTATTATCAAGAGAAACGACGAGTAAGAAAGGATGAAGAGGGTAAAGGAAGACAAATATATGTTGATGGAAGGAGACTAGGCTTCAGGTGGTTATTAGCACACAACAGAGTATACAGATGTTGTATTATAAAGTTGTACATCTGAAATTCATATAATGTTATTAACCAATGTTACCCCAATAAATTTAATAAAAAAATAAATGAAAAAGATGAAGCAGGTACTAGGTGCTGAAGGTGAGTCAGGGAAGGTTTTGACTAAGTGACATTTTAACAGACTTAAAGGGATAAAGAGAGAGCCCTGCAGATAACTAGGAAATAGCAAGTGCAAAGGCCCTTGGACTTGAGTATGAAGAAGTAAAAATAGTCCTGCGTGGCCGAAGCAGAGTGAGTAATAGGACATGAGGCCAGAGAGGAAATGGGAAACCAGATCATATCAGGCCTTGTAGGTCATTATAAAGACTTTGGCTTTTGCTCTGAGTGAAATTGAAAATCTTCAGAGGATTTTGAACAGAGAGGTGACATGATTAGGCTTCTCATTTGAAAAGAATCACTCTACTTGTTATTGAGAATACATTGTATTTGGAGCAAGAATAGAAATTGAAGGTCATTGCAATAATTCAAGCAAGAGAAAATTATGTCTTAGTAGGAGTAGGGGTGATGAGAAGTGTCCTAATTTTATATATACATACACACACACACATTTAAAGGTAGAGACAAAAGGATTTCCTAACAGAATCATGTGGGATGTGAAGAAGAATGCAGTTGCCATTAATTGAAATGGCAAAGAGTGAGGGTAGAACAGCTTGAGGGTTGGCTAGGGCAGAGTTGATTAAAAGCACAAGGATTTTCTATGCACAAGGCCCAAAAATCATATACTTGTCTACTCATATGATTTATTGTGTGCTTATGTTTGGCTTTGGGAATTTCATATTTTATTCAGTGTTTTGAATTATATACCTAGTGGCAATTGGTTGAAATACTAGATGTCTTTCCATGTGTCAGTTGTGGTTTTATTTCCTTTTCATCTTTCAGTCAAAACAGCCTGAAACTTTTTTGTGTTGTATTTCCGCAGCTGTCCTTGGTCCCATCCCATTGACCATTAGCCTGGTTCTGCAGATTGGATTGTCTGACATTTTTACTTGGTCACTTGAACCAGTTGCTTATTTAGAGTAGGTACAAATCTTTATGAGATTTGGTGTTTGACAAAAATAATTGCAGTTGAACAGTTTGAACATTCTAAAGCAGAAAGATTACACAAATATAAAAGAAATAATGTGAAACGGGGAAAATGGAGTGGAAATCATGAGTAGTTTAACTGTACCCGCTTGAGTGAGAGGAAACTTTTGTTGTAGATAAAGCCTATTTTATGGTGTTAGGAACTGGCCAACTGAATTCCGTTGGTTTGCACTGCTTCTGCTTTTTATCCTGATGGCATCTTTGGTTTTATCAAGGAGTTGGATTTCTTCGTTATTTCTAAAAAAGAAATGTTTACTCTCTTTAAAAAAAAACCAAACACCCAAAACTTGGGTTTTGATATCTTAAGCAACATGCTTAAGGTTAGTCAGTCAATAGCTGGGCATCTTTACTCGTAGTTCTATATTTCAGACAATAGATGAAGCTCTTACTGTGAGAGACCCCCAAGTTATGAATATCTAATATAGTCCAAATAGAATCATTAACATTTTAAAGCTAGATGGATTAAAGAGAGCGTCTAATCCTACCTCATTTTAGAGGTGAGGAAATTAAGACTCATCAAAAATTCATTGACTTTCTTAAAAATCACTAGAACATTCATTGTTTTCATGATTAGCTATATTTTTTATTTTCAAAAATTTATGGAAAGATAATTCATATACCATAAAATTCACCTTTTTAAAGTACACAATTTAGTAGTTTTTAATATACTCACAAAGTTATATAACCATCACCACTAACTAATTCCATAACGTTTTTGTCACCCCGAAAAGAAACCCTGTCCCCGCCATTATCAGTCACTCTCCATATCCTCTCTCTCCAGCCCCTGGCAACCACTGATCTACTTTTTCTCTGTGGATTTGCCTATTCAGAACATTTTACATAAATGGAATCATACAATATGTGGCCTTTGATGTCTGGCTTCTTTCACTTAGCATAATGTTTTCAGGGTTCATCCATGTTATAGCATGTGTCAGCACTTCATTCTTTTTTATGCCCAAATAATATTCCATTCTGTGGATTTACCATGTTTTGATTGTCTACTCATCAGTTAATGGACATTTGCATTTTTTTCTACTTTTTCCACTTTTGGGAAATATGGATTGATTAGCTAGATTTTTTTTTAAGTTATACATTATCTGGTTGACAAAAGAAATACAGTAATACATATACTAATAGACACATACATATGCATATATGTGTGTCTTCATTCTCCAGGAAGTAGGGGAAAAAATCAGTACACTGATTTTTGAACAGTACCCTCTATGAACAGTAAGCTCAGAATTACTGATTTTGTAATAAGGTTACCACCTTATTTCCTATCCCCATAACCTTTTTTAGGAATTTTAAATTAGGCAGGTATCAAAAGAAATATTTTCGCTGTCTTCAGTGGTATAAGGTGATTCAGGAAATGCTGAAATAAAGAGGTTGAGTTAATTTGCATTTCACAGGGTGGTTTGATGGATGCGTGCAACATACTTTAAGTCTCAGCAAAAAATAAAGGGTTAACTAAGCAAGTTTTGATTTTTTTAAAACAAATATGTTGTCATGGTAGTTTCAGATTACAAAATGTATCAAGTCACAGCTTAATCCAGTATAACAAGTAGTGTGTGATAGTCAGTATATTACTTTCTTTTATATTTCAAATATTTCCCACAATTTTTCCTGAAGTCCAAAATGTAAAGATTGTTTCATCCAACACAAGGCAATCCTTTTAATTATTGCAATTGCACCCTATATGGTTTCCATTTCTGTTATCTTCCTAAAATTGGGAGTCCCAGTCTGGACATAGTATTCCGTTCTGAGCCTGATACCTAGAGTATCACCAGTAGTACATCTTATCCCTTCATCCCTAGCTTTTAAAATGATGATGCTCCATTGCTACTGTGGATTTGGCACTTATTCATCAAGCGCTTGTTGTAAATTGAAGTGCAGCCTAGTGTGAGAGCCAAGCCTTGGGACAAACCTGCCCCGCAACAAGCCTTTATGGAAACAGAACAGATAAAAAGGCTTTTGACTGGAAACCAGTGTGCAAAAGAATGCTGTGTGGGCAACAGGACTTCTGGCCTTACTAATCATTTTTCTTTTATTCGGATAGCATTTGCTGTAGTCTCTATGTGTCAGGTTCTGTGTCTGTGCTTGTAAAGATAACTGAAGGTTAAAGCCCTACCCTTGAAGAATTCACAGTCCAACAAGGGAATGGACACTTAATCTATTAATATAATGCAGAGGTCTAATAGAGACATGTGTGATATTTTACTTCAGTCCATGTTTCTTTACCAGACACCACAAGTGACATCAAGATAACCCAATTCTGCTGTTATATTGAATTATATATGAAAAGAAGAATGAATATAGGAGACCACAGATTTCATTTTCACATTAGCTTGATTCTTATTCCAGAAAGGGACTAACAGCTGGTATAGAGATTCATTTAGCCTCATTTCACACAAATTATGAATACTTGGAGCGGGACATATTTTTGTATGACAATGAGTTCTAGCAATAACAAGAATTTTAAAGTAATTGAATAATTATATTTATTTATGAATCTAGGAGTCAGAAACCTCTTATCTTCATTCTCAGTGTTTGAGTCGAGCTAATATAAATGGGAGAGTTTCAGAATAAACTTATATTTTTACCAAGTAGTAGACCAAAGAAAAAATTAAAAACATTTTAAAAGTCTATTTTCCCAACTGATTATTCTTTTTAAAAAAATTGATACTATCTCACAGGTAGTATTCATTCTACTTGCTGAAAAAGGCATTAATTTTATGTAACTTTTTTGTTAGAGCCTGCCTAGTCTTTGAGAGCAATCTCTTAGACAATTATGATTGCACAATAACACCCCTTTGTTCCATTCTCCATTAGCTACTGACACCATAGAAGAGAGAGGAAGCATGCATCTTATTTGAGCTCCATGTAACAATTCAAGATCTAATGAAGGATTTTGAACAAAAAAAACACAAAAATACAACAAATTGCATACTTAAATCTGAAATCACTTTGAGATAGAAATTGCATCATAGAAACAGTTAACTAAAAACCAGACAAGCTATTTAAGACTTGTGCAGATATTAAAAGTAGTAATCTATTCTATAATTATGACTTCATATTAGTTTTATTATTTATTTTTTCAATGTCTTTAAAGTAATTTTACCAATGAAAATTGGTATATACACTATATAGGAGACATGAAGGGGAATTGATCCAGAATTGCAGTCCCACTCCTTCTGTGTGCACTCACAAACCAAGTGTGCAAATTATTCCTTGCCACCATCCATATTCCCCACACCCACCCCTTGCAACATTAAACTGCCAAACACCACCCAGGAACGGATTTCCTATTTCATCATTTAAACCCATTATCTTGTTCTCTTACTATCTTGCCAAACTGGTTTCCCTCTACTTAACATTCTGAGACATGATGCGGCAAGATAACAAGTCTAGACTGTTTGTATAGAGAGTTGGGTCTTAAAGTTGAAGCAAAGGACCAAAAGCCAATAGTCCTTTTCTCCACCCCCACCCCTGCCCCTTTTTAGTGTACTGCCTAAACTCTTTGTGATCCCAAAAAGATTGTTTAACTCCAAAGCATTTCTTCATGTTTTAAGGGACGATCATTTAGTGGTATTGTATAGCAGCTGTCCAACAATTGCAAGGCAAAAGACAAGCAGTTTGGGAAAGAAAATGAGAGTGTGCCATATTCATCGAAAGTTTAGCCTTTGCCTAACTTGCCAATTAAAAAACACAGTCAGCTCAGTAAAGATTAACTTAATCTCTATAGTATGTTCACATTTGCAAAGAGGGTTGGGCTCTTAGAGTTGGTATTTTGAGTGATTGATCCAGAAGGAGGGTGTGGGCAGATGAAGCTCTCTAGCTTAGTTTCAGAGGATTTCTTTCAGTCTAACCAGAGTTGTGTAAATGAGAAAGTCTCCACCCATGCCTCAAATTATCTATCTATCCATAACCTCCAAAATTTCATCTTTTTAAATGTGAGTCATTTGGACACTGATTTACAGGGTAAGATTTATCTAGAAATAACTGTCAAGACAAGCTCGGTGAGTAACCAGGGATAAAAGGTGATGTTATCTCGGAGGGTTGCCATTTAGTGACATGCCCTAAATTACATAATTTAGGTCAATGTGTCCCCGCTTTAGCATCCATCCAATACATATATTGAGTATGTATCCTCAGAAAGCTGCTTGTGGTAATTGATAGTGACTTTGGTAAAATGTAGATAGTGACTGCTGAGAGACAAGTGGGGAGAGCTAGACTGGTAGCATAACACTCGGGGAGTCCTGGGACTGAACAGACATACGTCTGGGTAATGGTTAGAGGAATGACTGAAGAGACTAGTAAGAATAGTGGTAAAATCGGGATAAAATTAAAAATTCTCAAAGTATTTCTTTTCATTCTCATTTCACTATAAATCTTTTTGATAATAACTATAAGGTATTAGGGGGAGCCTTACCTAGATTTAATCCTCTCAAAGTTTCTTGAACCAGAACGAATGTTCCCAGTCAAAGCACAAACTCCGCTGCCTCTCTGATGCTTTTAAGAAAAAGCCTCCTTATAAAAGCCTATAGCTTATTTCAAATCCTGGGCCTTTGTCTTTCATCTCTCTGCTCTTGGGGCTCTGGGTAGTGCCACATCTGCTGGTGGTTTGTGTGAAAGGAAATAATATATATAATAATTTCCTGTTTGGTCATTTATACCTATCCCCGTGCCGGACAGAATTTGACCCATTTCACTCAATAGCAGTGTCTTGTCACTAAGTACCAATTATTTACAATGGTTGTTGGTCAGCCAAAGTTTCAGTGCTCCACCACTAGCCCAAAAGCTGCCCAGGCCTCTTATTCTGACCACTATTGTTTTCATTACACAAGAAGTGTTATTAATAGATTAAACTGGAGGCTCGGATTTATTTCTTTAGAACACAGAATTATTTTTGATGAGAAACTCACAAATTCTAGTAAATATGGTCAGTATTATCATCCTTTTCTCTTATTCATTTTTGGAGCTAGTTTCATTTTATTCCTGAATTTTTAAAATCCTGAGCTTTATAATTTATTGTGTAACAACTGGCATAGAGTTTTAAAAAATAAAACCAAAAACATACCCACAATAAAATGAAAACTAGTTAATACTTTGAATTCTCTTTTTCTGATTTGTCTTTTTGTTCTCTTGCCCTGACCATACTTGACAGTCTTGTTCATTTACTGCAGAGGCAGACAGCATTCTTCTCTCTGAGCAAGTCCATTTGCGATACTGAATGTCTGAGGGACCATAGAATTGGTGACATGATTTCCGTATATTAGAAACTCTTCACTCAGCAAACTACTCAATTACAAAATGAGCACTGACAATTTCTAAATCTGTGTATATATATATAGTTGGGGGAAGAATTCCATTTTGCAATCATCACTTGCTTTTTACTCTCATCCCTTAAACTAATTTCATTTTCCTTAGAGACATTAGAAATATATGGATCCTTCGGTTTACTTATGACCTCCTGAAATGCTTAGTAATAAAACAGAGAGAAATGTCTGTTGTATCACAATACGTTTGCTTAGGGCAGCAGTGAGCAAACTATGACCCTCAGGCCAAATGTAGCCAGCAGCCTTTTTGTGTACAAGGGTTTTAACATTTTTAGAAGGTGGTGGGTTGGGGGGAAAAAAAAAAAACAAAATGTAGAACAGAGATGATATGTGTCCCACAAAGTTTAAAATATCTACTATCTAGCCCTTTACAGAAGAAGTTTGCTGATCTCTAGCTTGGGCTAGCATCATGTGTTAAAGTTTAAAGCCTTATATTTAGAGCAGCTTATATCTCTTGAATTTTAAATTGGGTACTGCCTATTGTGCAAGGGTATACTATATTTATTCCAGTTAACTAGTTGATTAGATATCCTTCTAGTGGTTCTCAATTCTGGCTTTGTTCTAAAGTCATGTGGAGAGCTTTAAAAATATTGTTGCCTGGGCCCCTACACCAGAGATCCTGATTTAATGGATCTGAAGGGGAAACTGGTCATAGATGTGCCTTCCATGCTCTTTAGGTGATTCTAATGTTCAGGCAGGTCTGAGAACCACAGGTCTACACCACTGGAAATATTCATAGACTGACAATTAAACCATATTCTTAGGTAGTTTTTATTCACATTTTTCATTAGAAATGTAGTAAAGATGTATTATACAAACTGTTCTTTAATTTCAAGACAGAAGTATTGCTTAGGGAAATTTTAACAGACAATTTTTAAATGTGAAGAGCATATGAAACAGATAATGCAGAGCCCAGAGAAATAGAATTTTAAAAGATAGGAACTGAAAGGAGCATGATGTGAAAAAAAAAAAAAGAAAGAAAGAAAAAAGACAGAGAGAAAAAGAAAAAACCACTTAGAATTTCAATACACAAATCACTGAGTAGATTTCTTGCTGTCTGGGTAAGTGTATCTATTTTCAAAAGTGCTATTAACATAAACAGAGCTGTAAATCTGGGGCACTATACTTTTTTTTTCAAAGTTGTTAAGAAGAATTATATCAGTCTGCAGGTGTCACATGCAGTTACTCAGAATCAGAAAGAAGGCTGATCGGGGGTTAGAAGATCTCCATCTATCTTTTTGCAGCCAACCACGTCCAGGCTGTTTATTTAATACTTCCTCTTGCTAATGAAGGTACTTGTTGGGGATGGGTTGGGCTTTCCCATCTCAGCATAAGGACTGCAAGATTTGAATGTGCCCTTGTGCGGCTTTACTGACCACAGCAGGTCCCCAGGCAAGAATCTGATTAGTAATAACAGGTAACAAAAGAGTGTGCATCAGACCTCGGACCCTTTTCCTTTCGGTTTATTTCCTTTTCTTCCCCACTTACCAATGTGTTCTTTTCCATCTTTTTATATTTTTCCAAACCAGCAAGTGCCGAAGCAAGACACTTCAAAGCAGAGATGGGAAGTGAAAGAGCTCTCGTTCTGGACAGATTAGCAAGCAATGTGGCAAAACGGAAAAGCTCAATGCCTCAGAAATTCATTGGTAAGAATACAACCCTTTTTCCTGCTGTTGTTAGCAGATTGTTTGAATGAGATAACATAGGATGCTTACTATACAGGCCCTTCCTAGCTTAATCTCTATTAAAATAAGGTAATTGGTTTTCCATTGTACACATTTATTCTTTGTGATTCATTTTGATAACTAGAGCAAATAGAATAAGATGTTTGAACTAAAGAAACTTAATGACTGAAGATGGGAGTACTTGGTGTTCAATTTCTTAAATAGAGTTGGTGTCAAAAATGCTGTTCCTTCCTCTTTATTCTGAATGACATATGTTGCATGAGAGAGTTTATGCAATTTACACCAGTAAGGTGTCCAAGATAACATTTTTGTAATCTTTTGTAATTATATTTTACAAGTTGGTTCCGTTATCATGCTCAAACTTTTTCATGCTCTAAAATGGATTGCCATATTTTCTTGAATTTGATTGAGAATTGGCCTTAAGGGAAAGTGGTTGGGAAAACATAGATTGAAATAACGAGGTTTGCTATAGTCATTTATCTTACTAGAGTTAATTTTTATGCCATTGGTTTTTACATTGTCAAAGAAACATAGCAGAAGGAGATGGCTAAGAAATAATGATGTCCTTTAATGTATTGAGACTGCCGAAGGGCAGAGATATTTTGCTGAACTCTCCCAGATGTTTACATAAATGTGACCAGGATATTTAAAATAGATTTTTATTTGTAAAGTAGGCAGCTGAATTGAATGTATCAGTTTTGCTATAAATTGAAAGGCTGATATTGAACAAAAATAGTTATCACATGAAAATAGGCCTCCCTCAACACCAGTGATATTTTAGAAATCTGTCAGTCTCTTTTTCCAAAGCTGCTTGCTGCTGTTGATTTCTTATTCCAGTCCTTTTGTGTTTATTCTTTTCAATAACCTTTACAGATAGTAAGTGCCTACGTTGTTTTTAAATCTGGTTAAATTTTATTCTGGTCTAGATAGTTTTTTTTACGGGAAGACATTGTATGTGAATTATAGAGATATACTGAAAAAAAACCCCATATATTTCAAAATTAGCTAGCTTGGTATTTATGCTTATTTATTTTATTTTGATTAGCTGAAAAGTGTTTGCCCCCTTTTAGTCACTTTAAGAATAAATTGTGTCAGACTAAAGTTGGTACATTTCAGTTTAGAGAGACCCTTTCCTCCTTACCATCTTCCATATGGAGTTGGGCTCAGTGGACCAATTGTGATTCCAAGACATTATCATAAGGCATTGCTCATATATCTTTTGAGCTTTACTTATATGAGGAGGTTCTGACTGGAGTACAAAGGAAAACTTGGATTGTTATTCTATGCCATGAGTGTAATTTAATTTGGAGAAAGTTTTGACTCTAGAAGTGGCTGGAGCTGATGTAGGGAGGGACATGGGGAGAAACAGGCAAGGAAAAAATGTAAAGTGACTTAATTTTGATCCAGTTATGCTCAGTGCATATTGGTATAAGAGAACTAAAATATGAGAGAAGATACCTATATATGAGAGAAGGTTCTTATAGCTGCCCTAAACCTATCATCACTGACCTAAAACCCTACTTAATATAATAAAAGTTGCACAGCTTTAAAAACATATGTTTCATATGTCCAAGTACATGCCATTTTGCACATCGCATCAGGGATCCATGTTCCATTTGTTTGTTACCATTGCAACCAGAGGATTTTTCACTCCGTCATTTCCAGACTCATGAAAAATACTGATCTTGTAGATGCTGATTTCTCTCATCTTCTGAACCGTCACATTCTCTCTGTGTGGAATCAGAAAACCCAATGGAGTTTGCCCTTGATTTGAGCTGAGGTGGCAATTTCAGGGCTGCGGGACCCTGAATAACTAAGGGAAATTTTCTTTTGTGTAAATTATAGTATAGTGCTGTAGGAAGAACACTGGATCAGAAGCCAAAAGACCCAGGTTCTGATTCTAGCTCAGTTATTTCTTAACCGTGTATCTTTAGACAAATCACGTAACTTTTCTGCACCTCTGTTTACTCACCTGTGAAATGAGGAGACCGATTAGGTGATGAAGTGATCAGGAAGATCCCTCCCAGCTCTATCATTCTACAGGTCTGTGAAATGAGTTAGAAAAGGCAGCAATCATGAATAGCACTTTGTATTTATAACTTCAGATAACTTTTTTCTTAAGGTTGTATAGCTATGGTGTTTATATTATGAACCGTGTATATTTTAGGGTCTTTTTTAGGAAGATGAATCTAAGAAGAATCCATAAAACAGCTTCATTAGCTCAATATTCTTATATTTAACTTAGGGCATTACTACTTGTTTGTTTGCTCTTTCATCCATTCATTCATCATGAAATGGTTATAGGGCTCCTGCCACACACGTGATATTCTGAGCACTATTATAATCTAGCATTAGCTTATATCCTGAACCTTTGTTTTAGAGATACTTTTTGAAATCAAAGAAAGCTTTTGAATCGTTTAACTGAGTCACCCTTTTTGATAGAAAATAGTAATATCAAAGCGGAGGGAGGAACATTATAACACTGTGCAATGAATGTGCGGGATGAAGTGATATAAAACATATGAGGCTAATGTTTTCTTCCTTCCTTCCTTCTCTTCTTTCTCTTCTCTCTCCTATATTTCCTCTCTAAGGCACCATTTTCTGAAAAGATCAGCTGCCAGAGAACTGGCAATGGGTAAAGTGTGAAGGGAGAATGAGTCACTCCCTTTAATCCTACTGACAGTTGCACAGCCCTCAGACCAACCTTGGCTTCCCTGACCTCTTGAACTGTGAGGGTAAAGGTGAAATTATACCATCAGGTCAGCCTGATACTTTTCCAGCAAGCCAGAGAGAATTACCAGTAAGTAGCATTGTTCATCCATTAGAGACGAACTGAGGAAGAGGGACAGATTGGATTGTCTAAATGCATTTAGAAACACATCAAAAAAAAAAAAAAAAAAAAGCCTCTGTTGTAGAGTAAAAGTAAAATTAAATTACCCAAGCAGGAGAAAAATCAAATCATTTTCCCCTAATTCTCCAAGAAATTTTGTGTCACTTTCTCTAAAATGAAAAATAAGTTGACACATGTTCATTAGAAATCAGCATCTTTACATCATCAAAATAATCCTTAGTTTTTCAGGAACAAGAAGGCCTTAATTTTAAAACGCACCTAATCCTTTTAGGGGTTGTACTTTCTCTGAATCTTATTTTCCTGTTATAAACTTGTTGGACTATACTTCTAACTAGGCCATCTTCAAATACTTGGCTCAAAATAGAGGCCAGATTTCTCTCCTTGAGGGAGGAGGAAAATGACTGCATTTCTGCATATTTCTTTTTCTGATTTTCATTCTTTCTCCAAAAACAGATGTGTTATTCAGACCAAAGTGGTTACCATAGCATTTCCTTATTTTTTTAAATTTTTATGTATTACTTTATTAAAGGAAGTTTTCATGTTGAAAAGAACATGAAAAAAGATCTCACTCATCCGCGGTAAACATGTGAGTGAGGTTTTGACACTTCAACTAACACCAGCAGTTCTCCCTCTGAAGTAACTAATGAGAAATTGTCCGCTTTGGTTAACAGTGACAGGAAGCAGTTTTAATACCTGTTTCTGAGAGCACAAAGTATCTTCTCCCACCCCTTTCCAAGTGGCTGAAATCCATAATCCTATATGCATTACAAAGTCGCAGCATTTTAGAGCTTGAAGGGATATGAGGAACCACCCCCTGAAGTTCTTTTACCAAGGAGGGACAGAGGATCAGAGAGATGAAGAGGCACAGCCGGTAGGTCACAGAGCAGGGTCAGAGCCTAGGGCTATAAAGCACTGCAGTCCAAGGGAGATCACCCAGAGATCACCCAGGCACAGCCGGTAGGTCACAGAGCAGAGTCAGAGCCTAGGGCTATAAAGCACTGCAGTCCAAGGGAGATCACCCAGAGCACTGCATGTCATGTGTGTGACACGGGGGCTTTGGACGGGGACAAGTCTAGTCATTGAAAACTGGTGGAAGAAAAGCTCTGATGAGGGGTGTCTTCCCCTGGTGACTCCATCAGGACAGACAACATCCAAATAGCACTTCACCAAGTCTCACAGAGAACAAAAGCTTCTTCAGCAACAACAACAAATGTGGTCTCCAGCTCAGTTTTCCTCACTGCCACCCTCACAGCTCTCTCTGTTCTCTCTCCTTCCTGCTTCTTATTCTGTGGCACCCCTCTGCTTCCTCTCCCTGGAAAAAGTTGTTAGTCACTTTAGTCTCATTTAGATTGATATCAGAGCCATAATCATCATCAAATATTCCATTTATTCTACTTACTTGCCTTTTTTTTTTTTTTTTTTGGATATGTGCTTGCAGTAAGAGAGAGTAAGTGGTAATACACATGGGAAATTGTATGAAAGTAGCAGCAAATACATTCAGGTGGCTTGAAGAAACTTGAAGACAAAGAAACCCCGAATATTTCACATTACTTCATCATGATGATTGGAATTTTGGAATTGTATTCTTTTTATAATGTTCGAATCATTTTCCTCCCTCCTCACAAAAACCTTTCAGTGGCTCCCCATTGGAATAAAATCCAAACTACCCAAGCAGCCTGAGCCTTCTACAATCTGTCTCCAATTTACCTTTTCCAATTTTATCATTTCAGCCAACTAGTCCTTTAATTCAGCTACAAGGAACTACTCCCACTTCCATGTAATTGTTCCTCCATGCTCTCTGTCTGGAATGCCCACCCGCGTACCTGTCCATAAAAGTGTGTGTGGTCTACATTCCACTCCTCTGCTCTGTTCTCCCTCTGCTCTGTTCTCCCTCTGCACCCCAGGCAAGCTTGACAGTCTGCTTTTTGTGAGATATATGATTGTCTCCACCACCATCACTACCACCACCTCAGGTGACAAGAAGACTTTAAAAAAAGGAAGAGATTAACATTTGTCCCATGTTACATGTGGCATATGTGAGAAATGGTTTGTGTTTTTCTCTCTTCACTCTCCTGGCTACTCTATACTTGTTTCCACCACATAGTATTAAGGATACTGATTTGTAATAAAATTGTGTAAATGCTGCCTCTCCTATTGGATTGCAGTTATATCTCTATCCCTCAGAGCATCTAACACGGTGTGGTGGTGATGGTGATGATGATGATGATGATGATGATGATGATAGTAGTAATAAAAGATCTATCACTTATTGAGTGCTTAAATATGCCAGGCACTCTGTTAAGCACCTAATAGACATCACAACTTGATGCATCATAGATGTTTCTTGAATGCATGGTGCTAGTCTATACGGGACAAAGCACAGTTGTTTTTCCAATGCTATGGGAATCATTCCAGGAGAGAATATGAAGTCACTACCTGCCGGTGGTGGGAATGTGTAGCCATGGGCAAGGTATCAGCTGGGAAACACTAGTTAACACTCAAACACATACTGAGATATATGAGCCCTTGATTTGCATCCTGGTCCTCCATTTACCAACTGAGCAACCTTGGCAACTTTATCAACCTGTTCGCACTTCAGGTTCTTCATCTGACTAAGATGATAATTCGTCTTAGGTAAAATGAGACAATATGCAAAGTATCTAGGACAGCACTGGGTATATAGTGGGAGCCCAATAAATAGTGGCTATTCTTATCAGTATTATATATAAAGCACAGTGCTAGGTACTGTGAAGTGTAAAGACCAGAAGTCAAAAGATTAGGGTAGTGGATCTTGACCCTCGACCCCAAAGGTAGAGGTCTGAATCCACATGCTCAGTGAAGGTCCCTTTTAGTTCTAGGCTAGGATTCTGTACTTTGAAGTTGGCACTTAGAAGCCAACAACCATATGCCTTCAACACATTGCAGCAGTTCAGGTCAGGCAGTTGCTCAGTTTAAAGTTACCAAAGCCTAGATATTAGGAATCAACACCTTTAAAAAGAACCACAGGTAGGGAATGCCCCAACCAGGCAGCCTTGGTTTCTAAACTTAGGACAAGCTGTTGCCATTTGTATTTTCATTGGAAGAAAACCTAATTCAGCCTGAAGCTGCTGTCGTTAGTCATTCAAAGGTGTGGTATGATTTTGACTAGAAGCTGGACCAGACGCTCCATGCAGGTTTGGGAGCAGTTACACTCTTGTGGTTTGACTAACCTTTTTTATGAGTGTGTTACTAAAGAAACGTGAGCTGTTGGCTTTTCTATTACTGTAGCTTACCCCTTCTGAGTTTCATACACATTGAGTCATCGTGTCTACAGGTGACTGATAATCATCTGCACAACTCAAGTTACCGTAACTTGGAGATGAGGGGATCTGATGACTGCAGCGTGTGTGCACGTGAAGATCTGAGGCTCTCCCATCTTCTTAACAATGAACAATGGTCTACATTAACCACAGAACTCAGTCACATATTTCCACTCGTCCAGGGGTTCATTTTCCTCTTAATGTTTTGCCTCTTACAACGTTAGCACTCAGCTGTTTTCTGACATATGCTGCAGGTGGTAAAATTATATTCCTAATTAAGTAAAGCCAACTCTTGGTAGAAAGGATAAAAGCAGAGTTTATGATGTGCCTGTCCCACCCTGGAAACTTTCTAGAGCCTCTCTGTTAGGTAGAAAGATTAAAAAAAAAAAATTCTCAGAGACCCCTGGTATTTGGGGAGTGGAGTAGAGCTGGCCATATGGAAAATCATTAACAACCTTGAAAAGGCCAAGAAACCAAAGTTCATCATTTCTATGTCATGCTCAGGGGAATAAATAGGTGTAACCTTAGCTGGCTTTCCTGTTCTCAGTCTTATTCTTCCAAGTAGCCTTGATCAAAGATATATCTAATCAGGAAGTTTAAAATGAAAACCATTGATTACTTTGGCAAAAGTCTACTTTTCTGTTGCTTTTTAATGAGTTGCCAAGGCAGGACATTTTTCTTTGCATACTTTTTCTCTCAGGTATTTGTCTAGAAATTGTCAGGTTTGCCTTAAGGTTGAGGATGCAGGACAAATGCGTGTGATTAGATCAGATCTTTTAGCTGGTCTTTCTTGCTCCATTTTCTCACTGTTCTGGTCCATCTCACACATTGCTGTTACATTACTATCCTGAAAATAACATTTTGACCACAAGTGTTCCTTGCTCGTGGGCATGTACTGGTTTGCTGTCTGTTCAAATCCAAACTCTATGGTCGGCCATTCAGAATGCCCATCATTTGGTCCTGCCATGTATTTTCTTTTTCCAATATCTCCCAAAATGTGGTATGCAAAGTGCCAGGAAGCCCATAGGGCATTAAAAAACCTAGATCCACAGTCAAGAAAATTATTTTCTATTTATCCTCTTTCAATCAACCTGATTATACTAAGGAGAAAGATTTAGACCTAACTTAATGTTAGTTGTCTTTAACACTAATCTCACACTTGGCAATTTCTGTTTTGGACAAAGAGAAAGGGGGTCTTTGTCTCCAAGTACTCACAGTAGTGTCGGATCAAAATTGAATCAATTGCTCTGTTTTATCGTCTTAACTTTTCATAGTTACCTATTTGTGGCAAGTGATTCTTGTTTTCCGTTTATGTCAGTGATCCAGAGTTTCCTTAAAAAATATGTTTATTTTAGCAAGAGAGAAAGAGAGAGAGAGAGAGAGAAGAAAAGAAAAGAAAAGAAAAGAAAAGAAAAAAAATGAGGACTGATTCAAACAAAACTAAAAACCCTGATGTTTAAGTCCTTTCTATGTGCCAGGCACTGTTCTAAGTGCTGATCTGTGACCCCGTGAGGTACATACGATTATTATCCCCACTTTACAGGTTAAGTAACTTGTCCAAGGTCATGAAACTCATAACTGATGAGCCAGCATCGCATCCAGTCCACCTGATTCTAGGGCTCATGCTGTCAACCACACTACCCTGGTGTGTGAATATTGCAGAATGTGAAGGAATAAGTGAAGTTTGAGAAATACTTTATTTCATACTTCTTGATATTAGCTATAGCCAGACTCTCTTCTTCCCTGTTCGTGTCCTGCATAGTCCCACTTCTCTGCCTGCCTTCATGCTCCTCCCTCAATTAGGATGTCTCTTCTACCTCTCTGAAAATCTAAATCCTACAATTGCAACACTCTTCTCAGAATTTAGTTTGGCAAGAATGCTTTTCCTTTCCCAACTACTCGTGAATTTTTTGCATTCTCATAACATTTAAGTATAAAATTTATACCAAGCCACCTTGCCCTTGCCTTATAATTCTTTTTGTAGAAGGTGTATTACTCCTCTGCTCAGATGCCTCAAACATGGCATTTAGAATAAAATCAAAGGCCTCTATAGAGCAAAGTGGCCATTTCACAACTTTTAACATTTATTTTTCTCTAGTTCTATATATACAGGTGTTATTTCTCTCCCACTAGGTTGGAGACATCTCAAGAAAAGGAACTGGTTCTCCCAATCCTTTTGTTTTCTTGGATTTTTTTTTTTTTAATCACTGAACCCTTTACTGTATGGCAGTAACAAATTTTGGAACCACAACATGCCTAGGAAATGCTACAGAAGAGAGGATAAGGCTCAGCAAATCTCTCGAACCCAACATCTACAGAATGAAAAAACATTAGCAATAACTTTAGCCTCATTTCCAACTCTTGACATATCTTCTTTGCTTTCTCTTCTTTCTACCAGCCACTCATCACTGAGCACATCTGCCATCACTGCAGACCCCTCTCCTGCTTTCCCTGTGGCCAGAGAGCCTTTGTTTTCTAACACAACACCCACACGCCCTGGAGGTGGCTAAACTCTGTTTTCAAAATTTCTCAGCAGTTTGACAATGAGAAGTAGGAGAAGGTGACCACAAATAAATATTTCAGTTAAGTGTGAGATAGGCCCTAATGATCACATGTGTATCAATGATACATTTTTTCAAGCAAAAGAATCACACACTTTATGAAAGGGACAAAGATCACGATCTTTCATCAAGAAGGCTTTTCTAAAACCTACATTTGAAGCCCTTCTACTTAAATCTCAATCTGGTGACTGCTGTGTTTGGGGAGTGGCAAGTGTAGGGAGTGGGTAGTTTCTGGGGCTATTTTTTCTATCCCTGTAGCTATTTAAAAAGCTGCCGAGGCCAGTCACTGAACATCCCCACTTGTAGTACTTCTGTTCCTTGGCTCCCTAGTGTTACAAACAGAAAATAACAAGCAAAATAAGAGTTTGGGACCTGACTGTATCTTATGAGTTCACACACAGTAGAAATGCCAATGCCCCCACGCTCCTGCACAGGGAGCCCCCTCTGAACCCCATCTTCCTGTTCTCTTGCTTTGTTTTCTCCAGAGTTCCCCTCTGATCTGAGCAGTGGAAACAACCCATGTTGTAGTTTCAACTTAATGACTCTCCCTTTTGCCTGCTGGCTTAATTTATTTTGACTGCCCAAACGTGTGCTGTCAACCACTGTCCCCTGAGACTTCAGCACCGTATGGAACCATTCTGCCAGGGCTGGGTGTTCTTGAGCAAAGCATGTCCTTCCTCACTTTTCAAGGACTCTGAAAAAGAATTTTATAAATGCTTTGTCTTTGTGTTTTTCCTTTTGTAACTCATTCTTTCACTTGTTCTAGGTGAGAAGCGCCACTGCTTTGATGTCAGTTATAATCCCAGCTATATGTACGAGAAGGAGAATGAGCTAATACAGAACCGAATGATGGACCAAGCCATCAATAATGCCATCAGCTATCTTGGTGCTGAGGCCCTGCGCCCCTTAGTACAGACACCACCTGCCCCCACCTCAGAGATGGTTCCAGTTATCAGCAGCATGTACCCCATAGCCCTCACCCGTGCTGAGATGCCGAATGGTGTCCCCCAGGACCTGGAAAAGAAGACCATCCACATGCCAGAGAAGAACCTCCCTTCTGAAAGAGGCCTCTCCCCCAACAATAGTGGCCATGACTCCACGGACACTGACAGCAACCATGAAGAACGCCAGAATCATATCTACCAGCAAAATCACATGGTCCCTCCTCGGGTCCGCAATGGAATGCCTCTTCTGAAGGAGGTCCCCCGCTCTTATGAACTCTTCAAGCCCCCACCCATCTGCCCACGAGACTCCATCAAAGTGATCAACAAAGAAGGGGAGATTATGGATGTGTATCGGTGTGACCACTGTCGAGTCCTCTTTCTGGATTATGTGATGTTCACTATTCACATGGGCTGCCACGGCTTTCGTGACCCTTTTGAGTGTAACATGTGTGGGTATCGAAGCCACGATCGATATGAGTTCTCATCTCACATAGCCAGAGGAGAACACAGAGCCACATTGAAGTGAACATCTGGTCCCAGAGATGATTTGCGCCTGAGCATTCAACATCATTTTTAAAAACTGATACCCCACTTAACAAATCACCCTCAAAACAAACTCAGATCCAAATTCCTTCCCATACTATTTTTAGTGTCTAAAGGGCCATGTTCATATGGGCAACAGAGAAACGCTATCTCCATTCAAAAGTTGTTTGCAGATGTGTTACTACTTTTGTGACACCTTGTTTTCCTGTGAGGGACTCGATTTTTATATTTAAAAGCCAATGAAGTATTTGGTCATCATCTTTTGCATCAATAGAACAGGCATTCCTTGGAGTTTGTTGCCAGTCTAAAGAGTGTCCCAGTTGTGCTACACGAGACATTCTTTCTCAGATACATCAGCCTTACGTTCAAAAGTCTTTTGGTCATAAGCCAGGTCCACAGAAAAGAAAAACTGACCAGCTGACCTTGTTGGGAAGACTTGCCCTTCTGCACTTGACACAAGGCTGAAGGTTAGGATATAATCTCATCCTAATTAGAATCTAATAGTAAGGAAAAGAATAGCCATAAAATAAGTGTCTGTTACCAATGACTGAAGACCCAGTCACGGAGCATCAGATTCATTCTCATCATCTAAGCAAAAACAAAACAACAACCAAAAAAAACCAACTCATCTGATGATACTTCTGCTTCTACTGTTTACCCTCCCATCTCCAATTAAAAGCTGCTTTGGGTTAAACCAGTCATCTAGGAGAAATTCTACACCAGAACGACTCATGGTTTTAAATATAGACCATCATCAAAACTCCAGGAAGTTGTCCACTGTGGGCGATGGCATCCATTTCCTGTGATCAAGATTGGCAGAGCTGAGTTCTGAGGGGAAGATGGTTTAGCAGCACCACCAGGGGAGAAAAAAAAACACCTACCTGAAAGTTCTTGGTCTCCTTCCTGGCGTATTAGTATAGAGCTCAAAGCAAACTTGCAAACAATTTTTTGACCAAAAAAATACCAAAGAATCCAAAAAGTATGACTTAGTCTTCCCCACCCCACAAGAGAGGACTCAGGGATAGAGGTCAAGAATGTTGTTTAGATCAGAGCTGAGCTTCGCAATGGGATGAGGAGGGGAGCAGCTCTGCTGGAAGGTTCTTCTTCATCAGGCAGGTTGGGTTCCCCCTACTCTCATTTTAAATGGAGCTGCAGTATCCCACAAAGATTCCTGAAAGTCTGATCTTAGTTCTGCAGATGTATTGGTCATCTCTATCCTTAATTATGGGAGGCATCCTATCAAGGAAAAGTGCTGCAATAGTTGTAAAATTAGCACTGGAATAGGAGTCACAAAATCTGTTTGCTAATTCCACATTTGCCCCAAATTAGCTGTATGACTTTGGGTAAATCATTTAACTCTTGAAACTAAATTTCCTCAACTGTTGAATAAGAGTTGGATTTAGATGTTCTCTAAGGTCTCTTCCAGCTTTAAATTTATATAATTATGCAGTAACCAGTTATTTTTTAAAGCTCTTAATGTATAGGTACTGGAAACCCACGGATATTTGAAAAAGTAAGCATTTATGCAGCATTAAGTATTAAGCAGAAGAGTCTGTATATGAATTCTGTTTCACATATCTTTGGTGTGAAAATGGTAGTGTTAAGTTTTTCCTTTAACCACTGAGTTGTGAATGTGAAGAGGGTGGTGGGGAGGAACAAAAAACAGGAAGGTATTTTGATCTTGCCCCAAAGTGTACACACAAACTGGCACCTGCAGCTGCTTGCCAAAGACTTTTTATTTTTTTTATTTTTTTTTACCTTTTTAGGGACTTGTGTTAGGGAAAATAAATTCTGCTTCCAGGGACAACTTCATGGAGCCTATTTACAAATTAAGAGTCAGCTTTGTGAACATTTCTTCCAGAGCCAAGAATCCCCAATTCCTGGTAGATTAGCGTTTTATGTATCTGCCTTGATATTTCGAAAGGGCTTATGCATCAGGCTCAAACACAACTTGTTATATGTGCTGCCAGTAATTAAAATGTTCCACCTCAGACTGCACAAATGGCTTATCCCTCTTTGTAGCATGGCGTCTGTCTCAGGAAAAAAGATTTTGTGAAATTCCATGGCAACAGTCCCAACATGTTGGAGATTTCAGCTAAAAGACAAGATATATTTCGGTGTGTAGTCTTCAGTATATCACTGTATTTCTGTAATCCTAGACTCCAAGCTGCTTGGAGCTGCCATGTTGCTTATACCCATTGTGAAAGAGAAGCTACTTATTATATTCTTGAAATGTCACACATCCTGTTGACTCTTCAGGGAACAAAAGAAGAGAAATTAGAAGGATTAGTAGAAAAGAAAGCTAGGGAAAGGGAGCGTTTCCGCCAGATTAATGGGAAACTCTTCGCTGAAGACACCAACTTTTGCACCTTGAGATAGTGAAACTAAGGCCCATCCCACCCACCCAGGGACACTTTTTGTAAATATGACCCTCATTTTCCCTGTGACTAATGGGTTTTCTGAATGATTTCCAAAGGCTGTACTTTCATTGTAGCATTCTGAATCTAGACGGAGGCATATCAAGTCCAGAGAAAATTTGTATGTGGAAGCATTCTTAAATCTTACAGTTGAACTAAGTGGTATGTAGTGGTTACCACCACACAGGTCAACACTTTCTTCTATAGGCACCCCTTATACTAATTAATGACCCCCACCTTCCCTCCTACCCGCTAAGGGTGGGTGAAGACAGTGAAGAAGAATCTTAGCAAGATGCTGAGAGAAAAAGGTGGCCGGACTCACAGCTGAAGTCCCACAGCAGCTTCAGACAGCACGTTTGCCTTCTCAGCCAGAGTCCCCCTGAACAGGAGGCGCGCTGGTCTCTCCTTCATTGTTGGGCCTCCCGCCTCACCCTCAGGAAGCCACAATCTGAGAAACAGCCTGCCCCTATGAGAAATTCCCTTGCCGCCAAGGTGACACAATTGGGGTGAGGATGGAAAAGAAAGAGAACTGGTTCTCCAGATTTCCTTTATCACTGAAGTGCTGCAAAGGTATTTCCTCCTGGCAGAGAACTAAATAGAAGTGTTCCCCCATTACCCTCCACCGCCATCACCAGAGGAAAAAAAAGATAATAAATCTAGCAGTCTTTAGATTCTTTACTTAAGTCACTCTCCCAAAAAGACATTTGCCTTGATACAGATAAGCTAGCTAATCTTGTGCTTTGTTACCTCTGAGCTGTTCCTGACTCAGCTTCTGATTTTGTCAGTGACAAAATTTCTCGCCTTTTAAATGCAGCACTGAACATTTTGCTAGGCCCATACTCACAGTGGCCCAGATATAAAATGACCTCAGATTTCTTTTGCAGAAAGAAACGTTTAAGAACACAAAATTTTACTTGGTTGAAACACTGTGTTAACAAAGCTCACATTAACATAAAGTTTTCCCAAGTAGAATATTTTAAGGGGAAAAGAAGTACTTCCGACATATTTCTCAGGGCAGGCAAGAAGACCGTAATGGAAATGTTAACTGTCCAAAGTCCTGGCTTTAACGTGTACCCTGCTGAGAGCAGGTCTGCCGGTCTGATCTCCGGTGGAGATCTGGACACTCGGGAACACCCAAGATTTGAGCCCTCAGAGATATCTAAGCTTTTCTCAGACTCAGAATTAGGACTTGTGAGCTCAAGAAGGGGAAAGGAAGCAGAATGATGAAAATTTTGTCCTAGAAAATAGCATCAAGCTGTAGAGAAGAAAATAAGAGGTATACAGTGGTATTTCTTTTCTTTTCAAGAGTTGGGAACTAATTTTGTGCTCAGGATTACAGTTCAGAGACCCTCTGCAGGCAGTTCAGAAAGAGCAAAATGACTGGTGATGTAAGTGCCTGTAAAGAGAACAACTTTTGACCTGAAACCAAAGGCTAGACCTGGGCCACCCTAGCCAAAGGACTCTGTTCTCTAAGGCTAAAAGGACTGAACAGTTCTGAGAATTATGAGTGAACCCAAAGCTGGGGACTGCCGCCTCTGAGGACTGTGGACTCAAGGTGTAGGCTTTGAATCTGTGTGAGCTCACAGCAAAAGACTGTACCTCTGTTTACCCAAACTGTATATACTCTGTACCCCAACATGCCACCGGTACGATAAACAGATCTTTGTACTTTGAAGAAGTTGAAAGCAAGTTTCCTCTAAATATTAAAATAGTGGACTGTCTTATACATTGATATTATTTGAAACTGGAATGTTAATATTTTGATTAAAAAATGTAAGGTCATAACAATATCTACCTCTCAAGGATGTTGTGAGGTTTTATGTAATTGTCTATAGAGTAATGTTACTTTTTTTTAAGGGGCAGGGGGATTATGTTGGATAATTGCAAACTTTCCACTATATGTACTGTATCTGGATTTAAAGACATGGAAAATATTCAAAAACCATACTAGGACCATAATAGTAATTCAGTTGCCAATGGAGGCAACTGATATCTAACACGGTTTCCTTCACGTTTTAATGCATCAGAGTAAAGAATAGCAGCCATCTTGGCGGCTGCTCTTGGTTGGGGGCCATCCTGCACCTAAGGCAGGAAGGCGGTGGCTGCAAAGAGGATGAAAAAGTCCCTGGAGTCCATCAACTCTAGGCTCCGACTTGTTAAGAAAAGTGGAAAGTACATGCTGGGGTACAAGCAGACTCTGAAAACGATCAGACAAGGCAAAGCGAAACTGGTCATCCTCGCCAACAACTGCCCAGCCTTGAGGAAATCTGAAATAGAGTACTACGCCATGTTGGCCAAGACTGGTGTCCATCACTACAGTGGCAATAATCTTGAATTGGGCACAACGTGTGGAAAATATTGCAGAGTATGCACACTGGCTATCATTGAGCCAGGTGATTCCGATATCATTAGAAGCATGCCAGAACAGACTGGTTAAAAGTAAATCATGCAAATTTTTTTCTTTAATAAAACTGGCCAGAGCTTGTTTTAAAAACTAAAAAAAAAAAAAAAAAAAAAAAACCAAACCTTAAAACCTATGTGATTTAACTGTTGGCTACAGGTACTTCATGGCATTGCAGCCAGGGAAGTAGAAGAGCTTTGTTCCTACAGTGTCTTACAAGCCCCCAGCCATTAATTCCCCAAGCAACTTAGTTTCCTCAAATGGTCCTCACTGTCCATATGTCCATTGACCCACTCTAGAAAGCCTGGGAAGCAGTCCCATAATGCCACCCACCTTCTTCCAAGCCCATGCAATGCATCTGTGGTGCCTATTTCATATTCTGAGTGTAAATGCAGCTTTGCTTTTTTTCTCCTAAAAAGACTGAGAACAAACATTTTAACATGTTAGGAAAATGGGGCAGCCTTAAAAATGACTGATCCCATTGCTAGTGACTCATTTATACAAGGACTCTTCCAGATTAGCAGACAAGGCCTTTTTGGTGGGCCTGCTTCTGTGGGTTCACAGAAACCAAATTACTGTGGGTTGCAAAGAATTAGCAGGTCATTTGAAAAGCAGACATCCCTTCACCCAGACTGTGGTTTTGCATGCTCAGGTTCTCAGTCTGAGCTTTGGTGAAGGATCATTTTGGCTGCTGGAAAAACCATAGCTTATTTTTAATTTCTGGTTGCCAAAGCCGCCACACGTGTGGTCTGTGGATGACCCTTGTCTGCAGAATGACGGGGCAGGAAGGGAACGTGGTTTGGGGCTCAGGGTGGCCTTTGCACCAGGAGCGAGGGAGGGAGACCTTGCAGGGGGGTTTTGACACGGCCTGTGCTCACAGCCTTCTCATCTGGGTTTCTCAGAAATGCACTCCCTACCCAGCAGTGACTTTCCCTCTTGATTTCCCTGAGTTTTACCTGGAGTCCAACCATTTGGAGTACTGTAAGGTGCCTTACTCTCCTTAAAGAGTATTTAAAGAGCTTCTTAAATGTAGCAGCGCTAACCTTGCCAGAACCTTAATGAGTGCCTCCTCGCATCCAAAATGGCCCTGCTGATAGTTTTCAAAGTTTCTTTACCATGTTTGATTTTTACATTGAAAAATAAAAAATACTGGTGTGTTTAAAATTAGTCATTGTGCATGTCTATCATTTGTAGTTGCTGCTGTCAGAAAACGGAAGGGTTTAATTCTGCCTCTAGGAATATTTCTTAATTTAGCTCCTCTGGCTATTGTTTCAAGTCCACGTACGAGGATAAATGGAATTATCACCGAAATAAAGCATCTCGCCTGACGCCTTGCTGACCTGCTGTTGGTATCTCGCTGCTGGTTCCTGTACCCTCATAGTGAGGTTCCGATTCCACTGGTCCTTAGTTCACTGAAGGGACTGGAAGAGGTTGGGGTCTGGACTTGACAAGATTAATAACTGAGCACAGTGTCTCCCAGTTCCAAGACACAACTCTACCCTCCCCCCAGGCAGGGATGGTTTCTAAAAGATAGACAAGTTCTGACTTTTTCATCTCTGGGGTCTCAAACGTCCCCATTGGGAAACTCAAGCTACAGTTGCTGAACCACATTTGAACATAGTCTTTAGACACGTGGACGCCCAAACCCAAGGTATTAGAGGAAAAACTCCTGTGGGAGAATGGCCTAGGGATCATGCATCCTTCTCCCTATCTTGGTATCATCTGTTCTCTCTTAGAAAAATATCAGAAGAGAGTCTGAGAGGTAGTCTGTTCTTTTGCTCAGCCTCATCCAAAACACCCTCCCGTTCCCCTCTCCCATGGAAGAGGCAGGAGGAAGACATTTCTGAGGTTTAGGAGTAGCAAACATGGGGCCAGGTGGGCGGCAGCTTTCTCTGGCTCTACCTGCAGCACCATCTCCCTCCCTTTAACAGCACCAGACTTTTGGGAGGATCTCCAGCAGGTTTTCCAGCCTCACCACTGGGCAGGGAGAGAGGATCGGCACTGCAGCCTTTGTACCGTAACGTTAAATACACTTAAAAATGGCCTCTCAGTAGCTGATTTTCAGCCTTGGAGAGAATAGCATGTGGCTGTCCCTATTCCCATTCCCTTCCCAAAGTAGAAGCAGCTCAGGGAGAAAAGAGGGAGACTGGGATCCTCTTTGTCAATGAGCAGTAGAGAGAGATCCACAGCTGGCTGGTGTTGGGCTTGGGGCTGAATAAACTTCCAACCTGAGGACAGTTTCCTTTCCTAATTCTTGGGAACTAATTCGATGCTTTAGAGAGTGGTGGGCCTGGCAATGGAGGCCACCCCACACCTGCACCCTCCTCCTCCCCCATCACTCAACACAACCAGGCCATTCACACAGGCTGCGGTGCCCAAACCTCCACCTGCAGGCAACTGCCACCCAAGGGCAGGCAAGGGAACAAGGACTTGTCTTCCCTGCGTCATGTCCCCCTAGCAACCAGAGTCTGAGGAAGAGAGGAGGTGAGGGCTCTGGGAAGACTAGGAAGCTGAGGGATGGTGGAGGAATACATGCAGCCCAGGACACAAGTTCTGGCTGCAGAACATTCCCGGGTCAGACAGTTGTTTGCATAAAAGCCAAAAGCCACTGCACCTGGGGTGGGGAGGCCCTCTGGGGAGGTACTCCCTGGCTTGGGGGAGAGGGGGGAAGGAAGGTGTCATGGAAAGTCCCTGAAGGACACGGGGTGTTGAATTTGCTGTGGTTTTGTTTTTAACTCTGTCTTGACCTGTGAAGTAGGCAGCTGCCTCCCTTCCCCCAAAATAACAGACCTTCCCCCAGAATAACACGAACATACCCAAGGAAAGAGCACTGTAGTGGAAAGAATGGAGGTTAGAGGACCTGTGGGTGATGTAAACTGCCCCCCTTCCCCAGGACTGAGGGGGCAGGAAGCCCCAGAACAGTCTTTTCCCATAACCTCGCCTTCCCCCTCAGCCCCCCTGCCCCTTGGCCCAGAAGAGCTGCCTAGTCAGATAAACCACAGCCCTGGGGGTGGCTGATGGATGGGAACTAGGGGGGCAGATGCCACCTCCTCCCCCAGGCTGGTCCTTCCACTGGCTCAATCCCCATGCCACCCCCGCTGGAATTACATTCTCAGCACCTCCGTCTCCCTCTCATTCACAGACCCTAACTCCTGCCCTTCCCAGACGAGTGTGTGTGTGTGTGTGTGTGTGTGTGTGTGTGTGTGTGTGTGTGTTTTGGGGGAAAGCAGGCGGAGTCAGTGGCTCCAGAAAAGCTCTGAAGTCTCAGTAAAGAATGAACTGCCTGGTGCAGACTCCAGCTGAGTAATTGGACTCCTGGGTTCCAGACCCAGCCCTGCCACTCTCTGGGTGACCCTGGGCACTTTGCTTTCCCTCTAAGGCCCTGATTTTTCCCTGGAGTCAGATTTCTGAAGTTTCTTCCTGAAGAGACTTAGCTTGGCCTCAATCCCATTACTCCAGCCAGGCCTTCGTTCTTAAATCTAGAAATAGTAAGAGAGGTCCTGTTCCCTCTTCCATCTCTCCCCACCAGCTCAGGCACTGGGAATGAGGTAGGGCGCTGGAGCTAGAGTGATGGCAGCCTCTGATTTTTGCAAGTGGTCACTTTCTTAACTATTCTATGAAATCCCAATCCTGGCCCACAGCGGTGTGATGAACAGGTAGGTGACAGTGGGAGACTTTGAATATGGACCCTGAGGCTGAGACTGAACACCTGGCCTCCTTCCTTTCTCAGCATCGCCTCTTAATTTTGCGTGGACCCAGACACCGGATTCCCAGGTTGGGGGTGCCTGGGAGAGGAAAGCTTAGGCCCGGCGGAGGCGGGAACGGGTGAGGTGCCGTGCGAGGTGGGAGTTGAGGGGGGTGAGAGGAGGGGCAGCTGCACTTCTGAGAAACAGCTCGGCATCTCAGCAGCCCGCAGCCTAACCCCCTGCCTGCGGCTTCGCAGCTTGCTCCTCCTGCCGCCCACGCCGCTCGGGGCCTCTCCGGGGGTCCACAGCCCCCGCAGAGGCGGCGGCCGCTGGGGTGGAGCGACAGCTCGGGGGACAGCGGAGTGGAACCCATGGGGTGGGAAATGGAGGGGAGCATGGGTTGCGTAACACCCAGGAGTAAAAACCCACCCCTCACTCGAGGTCGGGAGCACTGGACCTCCACCCGCCCGTGTGTGTCCCCTCTACCCCCACCCAGGTACTCTCCCATCACACCCGGGGCAAGATCCAGAAGTGAAACTGCTGGGGGTCACAGCCCAGCGCCGCCGCTGCGCCCCGCCCCGCCCTTCCGGGCACTGCAGCCCTGCAGGATCACCCAGAGCTCGGGCGACTTCAGGGAGGAAACTGGGGGAGGGGAAGGGGAAGTGCCCCGCGGGACAGTCTACAGAGCACGGCCTTCTCACCCGGGGGTGCCCGCTGGTAACCACGAGTGGGAACCTCGAGAGGCGCCGACTTTACACGGGGAGCGGAGCGGGCAGCGCCTGCACTTCCCACCAAGGCCGCTGGGTGTCACTGCAGCCGCGCGGCTGAGCCGGCGCGGGCGCCAAGGGGAGGAGCGGGCGCCAAGGGGAGGAGAATGGGGTCATGGCAGGCAGCTCCAGGATCGAGCCCGCCGCATCCGCGAGGTCCTGCCTAGCTTTCACCCCACAGACGCCCTGCGTTGCTTGGAGGAGGCCCTCATACCTCCCTCCACACGCCTGGTCTCTGGAAGCCGCCACCCAGCCCACTGACTCGCAGTGAACAAACTTTCCCCCTTGTGGCGCTGCTCATCATCCTCCCGCCCGCGCAGGGACAGACGGCGCCGATCGCCAGACCCCACCAAGCGCGCCCCCTGGCGAAGCGGTCGGGCCTTGGTGGCTCTGCCGAACCTGCGCCCGCAACCCCTCGACGGCCGGGTACCTCTCAGCACCAGCAACCGCACGCATGCCAGGTTTTTCCAGGGGGAGAGGAGGGCAGGACTGTCAATGGGTGCAGATCACCTTACGCACGTGCTGCGAAGCCAGAGCAACTGTGGTATGGGTCCTAGGGTGTATCCTCACTCCTACTCCAGGCTCACCTGACTCTTAGATGGAGCCCTACTCACCCAGCT